GTGTTTGATGGCTGCCAAGTGTCTGCTTTTCACACACTGAGGATGTTGATGCTTGGACAACATATGATGTCATGTGTCCAGACACACACACACACACACACACACACAGAGAGAGAGAGAGAGAAACGTTCTCGGATTCAGCTGGTGTCACCCATTCCTTGCTTCATTATAATGACAATTAAACCAGAGGAAGAATTACAGCCCCACAAATGTCCTTCAAAGCTGCACAAAGGAAGTGGGAAACAGGAGGTAGCAAATGAAGCTTCATCCTTGTTGCCTGACATACGCAGTTCTCAGTGAACAGCGGGCACTGGTCCTCAGAAGAGAACTATTTTATATCATTGAAGTAGAGCAAAGAATTGGATATGCTGAAATCAGTAGTGGCCTGAAGGAGGGCCAATAAATTGCAGCTCAGTACAGACAGAATGACAGAGTAGTTGATGAGTTGTTGGTCTGAGCAGAGAAATGGCATTGACTTTAGAGAGAGAGAGAGAGAGAGAGAAACGTTCTCGGGTTCAGCTGGTGTCACCCATTCCTTGCTTCATTATAATGACAATTAAACCAGAGGAAGAATTACAGCCCCACAAATGTCCTTCAAAGCTGCACAAAGGAAGTGGGAAACAGGAGGTAGCAAATGAAGCTTCATCCTTGTTGCCTGACATACGCAGTTCTCAGTGAACAGCGGGCACTGGTCCTCAGAAGAGAACTATTTTATATCATTGAAGTAGAGCAAAGAATTGGATATGCTGAAATCAGTAGTGGCCTGAAGGAGGGCCAATAAATTGCAGCTCAGTACAGACAGAATGACAGAGTAGTTGATGAGTTGTTGGTCTGAGCAGAGAAATGGCATTGACTTTATGGGGGTGGCCAACCTTCAGAGATCCTGCGACAGCACATGTCCATCCTAGGATGTTGGAGGAACTGCACACACCCCTGTGACCCTTATGGGGGGGAAATTGGACAGAAAGACCTCTTGCACTCTTGTCCCAAAATCTTACAAGAAATAGATCTGAGGATGGGGGACTCTAGAGAACTCTCAGTACATGGGGAAAGTATCCCTTGGACCTCTAGAAGACACAAGGAGACATCTTGAACCAAAAATTTTGGGTGTGTGTGTGAAGATGTTGGGGCTGTCAAATGTGTTGGTGGGTTTTTGAGGGCCCGTATACCATCCCAAGAGTTCATGCTTCTCACTCTGATGTACTCCATTAGTTCACTTCTCTGTCTTGCTCAATTAAATTTTTTTTACATACAACACCCTTATTGAGGGGAGTTGCAGAGTTTTCCACCTTTGAGTTCACTCATATTTTGCAGAGATTAACCAATTCACAACTATAGGTGTCCTGCACCTGGAATATCTTCCTTCATCATTTTAAACTAAATTAACAAAGAGTTTAGCCTGGATTATTGGACTAAACCCAATTAAAATAACCCATTCAATCAGTTGCTGAATGGAAAATTAATTTAGGCTTGTATTCTGTAATTCCTTGTAGCATTCTGAAATCATATCTACTTCTAACCTTCTCTCATTATTTACTGGTTTGTTTCATTATGAAGTTCTACTACTTACCCACTTCTGACTTTGTACGTTTGTGTGATTTTCTTACCTTTAAAAATAATCATTTAGTAAGGTTGCTCTGGCAAACGTTTTGCCTGAAAACTGTGCTTTGAATACCATTGGCAATGATATCTTCCCAGATTAGCTTCATATGTTGAGTGTTGGGGCTATTGTAGTTGAAAATTCACATTTCCTACATGTAGAGTCTGTCTGGAGACAGAACATGGCATGACTCCTCCTCAGTTCCCTGTCAGCTGAGCCAGTTAGGATCATGCTGAGTGCCACCTTGTCTTTAATCCTGTTTAACATCTTTATGGAGCCACCAGGGATAGTCATTAGGGAAGACAGAGAAAGGTGTAATCAGAGTGCCGATGACATGCAGCTCCATCTCCCTGTGACATCTGAATCTGATTAGTGTCTAGGCTCAGTGAAGTAATGAACAATTCCTGCAGGAACAATGGGAGTGATGTCACAAGCCATGACAGATTGCAGTTAATTGAAGAGTTGTGTTTTTTTAAAAAAACGTTGGAACTGATTGAGGGGACTCATTAATTGCTAGCAAGAAACTGCAGTGAGTTTGGTCATTTGCTTCTGCAGGCAGAACAATATAACAGGGTTTTGACCTCTGTATAAGGAGTTTTTCAAAAGACCCCATTACATCATATTAATTCTGATCCCTTCACGACCAGTAGCATTGTTCTTATTTCTAGCATGCCTGTTGGCCACCCAGGCAATAATAATCCTAAGGAGAAGGAGAGAGAATTTTTCAAATTAAGGATTGTATAGATAAATTTGCTTTTTTCCCTTAAAATGATTTTGCACGCAATCAATAGGGATTCATTATGATAGTAAAAACAAAACAAAACAATAATCCAGACAATACCAATAGTTTCAATTGAACTTAAATTAAGGAACTTAGAATTGTTATTTAGACACAAGGAAAATCTATTTAGATAGCCATAAGCATACTAGATAGTAGGGGAAGTATTCCCAATATATTCCATATAATCTTATACTGTATAAGGAATGCTTCCCACAACAGGATTTCCTCAGAGATATAAGTTTCAGCAATCAAGTAATCAAATTAAGCCCATTATTATCTTTCACTGAATACTCATGATATTGTATGTGCTGAATGGTGAAAAGAATCAAAACCACTTCTGGGCATAGAGTTCAGCACCTTGGATAACTCCTGTAAAGCGGATGCTAAATCCTGGTTTGGCTTCAGAGCACTCCTGAAACTGGAGTCATAAACCACCACTGCTGCCAATCGTCACAGGAGAGTTTGCAGAAATTGCTTAAAACTTTTGTTTAACCTTATTAGATGTTTCACTGCCCAACATGAATTTAATGACAAACACAGCATGGGCCTAAATTAATTATATATGAGTGACAAATGCTGTTTAGACAGGTTCCCTGCTCCATCTTCTAATGTTAGTTATTTACTCTCTGCACCTTGGAGACCAGAAAATTTACAAATCCAGCAATGCTTACATGTTCCAGGGTTCCCTTTACCTCAGAAGGCAATGGTCCTTGCACTTTACCTTTCCCCCTTGTTGCCAGTCAGATGCTACAAAGCCTCCCTATTGTCAAAATTCTGCTCTATCAAGTAGAGTGACTACTGACACATCAAAGGACACATATCACTGAAAATGTGGATGGAAAATGACACCAAAGCGCATAAAATGGCATATGCAAATTTATACATAAGGATGCAAATTAGAAATGATTTTTATCATTGAAGCAGATTATGATACATCTCACCAGAGTGGGGAAGGTTATAACTAGGTGAACTGTTTGGTCATCTACCAAGCCTGCTGTCCAGGTGCTCACTGTGAATGGAGAGCTTCAAGGTTCTGAATCTCTTTCCTTATGGTTCTTTAAAAAAAAAAAATCAGACTTGGATTGGGGAACCTTTCAACAGAGTTCATGTTCAGGATGAGGACTATCCCCTGGCAACCCTTCCAACAGAAGACTTCATCTGTAAAAGATGTCTTATGGCCACCCTGCTTCTCAGGACTCCTAACCATGGGGAAAGTAGTAAGTGTATCCAGCTGACCTAATTTATTTATTTATTTATTTATTTATTTATTTATTTATTTATTTATTTATTTATTTATTTATTTATTTATTTATTTATTTATTTAATTTATATGCCGCCCACTCTACCCAAA